ATTTATTTTAACAGTGAGTAGATCTGATCAAACGAAATGTTTTTTCCTTTACCATTTTTCTGGTAAAATTAAAGTAACAAAGTTATAGCCCTTTCGAAGTTTGAGTACCGCCCTGTCTCAATAATAATATCATGTGCTTGTGTTTGGCAACAACGGATATAATCCACCTTATCGGTTCATCGCATCGGAAACAAAAAAGCGAAAGAATTTGGAACGAGTTTTTTACAATTATTTCATTCAGTTCAGTTATACATACAGTCAGTGTCAGTCGCGTGTGAATAGTGTCTGTTGCGTGGCTCAAACGAAATAAAAAATGGCACATGTTTATGCGGATCGGTTTCCCAATCGAGTGCAACCAACCCCTCGTGCCTTTGTTAATGTAGTACAACGGGCTCCTGAATCAGGTGACTTAAGACCTCACAGGGGACCTCACGATCAAATACAGGTCCGCACTGAAATACTTGTCGGGAGAATACTTTATAAAACAAGGTAAAAAATTTTTTTTATTTTTTTTTTATTTTTACACACATATTTTGGTTTATCTTCCTTCTACAATCATTATCTGAAAATTAATGACTCAACTTCAAAGTCACCCTGTATAGGATCCATGCCCTTTGGATATCACCTATTGGATATTTTACCCTTGAGTGGTGACGTATGTTCTCCGTGTAACACCTGAAGCTTATTATGTGGTTTTCATCTTGATGGGACTTGTCCCATATTGATGGAACTTCACCGTAGTGCCCGAAAAAACGGTAAAAAGTTATTAGTACGTATGTGGTTTCATTTGGCAAGAACATCATGAAGTTCTAGGTTTTGCATGTTTTTTGACAATGGGCACTAATGTCCGGCCAATCTACTGCTATCAAACATACCGAAAATGTTGAGCTCCCGGAACATCATACTATATAATAATAACGTTAGCAGGGCGCATTCAAAATAAGTGGACTCCGGGCTTTAACTTACTTAAGTTTATTTGAAAAAGAACTTAAGACTTACTGCGTGCCAACTTAACAGATAATAATAATAGTAATAATAATAATAATAGTAATAACAATGGCTTTATTATCCAACGGTTTTTCATTTACCATTTACAGGATAATATAACAATTGAATTGCATGTCCTTGCGTTGATAAACCAATATAATAACTAAAACAATAGTTATACTATAATAATACTACCCTAAATAGATATGCAGATAATTAAACCAAAAACAAGAAATCAAAATTAGTTCCATAACCTCTATGCTGTTCTGATAAACTCATTCAGTGTACTGAAAAATATATCACAACGGCTGGAGATATAGTTTAATAGACTGGAGACTTAGGCTCGTATCGTCAGTCGTCCCTACAATTGTAGGGCGCGTTTATGGCCTCCTTGATTGTCATACTCTTTTCTCTCCTTCAAAAATTTCTAGATTACACTCGTCCCGTGTCAGCGTCAGCGCTCTACTATTGTTAAGATATGTTTTCCTTTTAAATTGTGGGAAATTTCAGGCTGATAAAACATGATAAAACTCAAAAGCAAGCACAATTTGATGCAAATAGATGTTTGTGACATAACCTCAAAATAGAGCGCTGACACGGAGAAGTAGAAAACTATGACAATCAAGGAGGCCATAAACGCGCCCTACAATTGTAGGGACGACTGACGATACGGGCCTAAAACAACATATTATGTTAGTCTTAGCTCTAGGTAGCTTAAATATCACATTATACCGAGATAAAGAAGGAGGCATATCAAGAGCAACCTTCCCCAGAACATTAGAATAATCAACATATCCATTCAGCAATTTAAATAGAAACAACGCCGCCGTAAATTATCTTCTATGCTCTAAACTAGGTATTTCAAATCTATTACATAGTTCATACGAGTAATTATTTCATGAAATGCTGGCATATTCAAGTTTCGATCTAGTGTAGGTGAAGTAAAGTACGGGTGGGGTATAAGTAATGAACCGGTTTGTTAAACTAATTGCTTGATCAGTCATTGTGGGTGTTGCATCGTCCCGTTTTCAGTTGAGGTTGACGCCATGACTTGGACAGGTGAGCATCACGGCTTCGCTGTGCATACATTTTTTTGAAAATGGCCGCTCCGTCATCGCCACGCAGAGAGATATTCGCGTACATTTCAACATTCCGCGTAATCTTACGGTCCGAAGGAAGGAACACAATGGGTCCGAAGAAATTGGATCCACTGCAAGACCTAAGGCAACTGGAAGACCCAGATCTGTCACAACATTCAAAATATAATGGCTGTGAGGGCAGCAGTAGAACTGTCACCAAGGCGCTTTGCTCGGAGGCTTGCGATTGCTTTGGATATGCTTGCTCGCTCTTTAAGGAGAATTCTGCATGAAGAACTTTCATTCCATCCCCATAAAATCATGGTTGTTCAAGAACTGAATGCTAAATGTTGACAAACCCCAAAAAAAGGTTTTTGGGCTCAGCGACCTGTGTAATCGGGATCAGCAGTCTATCAAATTTTTAGGAATTAACCTAGATGCTTGCCTACAGTGGTTGCCTCATGTAGAAGCTGTTTGTTAGAGGCTGCGGGGAACAGTTTTTCTGTTCCATCGACTTCAAAGGTCCATATCTTATGAGGTATGAGGTATCACCATACTATGAACTCTTTCATTCTGTAATGAGCTATGAAATTATGGCATGAGATGGAGCAGCTCATGCAAATAGAGTTTTTGGGCTACAGAGGAGAGCTATAAGAATACTAGAAGGATTATCTTTTCGGGAGGACTGCAGGGAAGCTTTTGTCAAATTGAGCATATTGACTTTTCCTGCTGCTTTTGTTCTGGAAAGTGTATTGTTTGTCAACAAAAATGAAGTTTCACTCTTCAGCGCTAAATATATAAATATGAAACAAGAAACAGGAACAAAATCAGACCTATCTTCTGCCGACTGAGGAAGTGTCAAAGCAGACCAGAATTTATTGCTGCCAAATTATGCAATTAACTACCTCCACACACCAAAAGTCTTGAATTAAATAACTTCAAAAGTAGTGTTAAGCAATATCTCCTACAACTTGCTCCATATTCGATATCTGAGATTTTAGACACTGGTTTTCAATGCACCTTATGTATGTGTTATGTAATGGAACCTATAGTATGCTTTAAGGTTTTAAAATGTATCTGTGAATGTATCAAAAATGATATGTGCTCATACACTGACTGTATCTTGCATGAATAAATGATTTTGATTTGATTTTGATTACATCAACCGTGTAAATCGTTGTCAATATATGCTTGAACGAAACGCCGAAACATCAACTTTTTTCAGCAGTAACGGGGCCCACTTTCACCTCTTCATGAGAGATCTCTTCACTTATCTAAAATGACTGTGTGGTGTGCAATGTGACAATTTAGGATCATTGGAGCTTATTTTTTTGAGGAGAATGGTCGAACAGTAACTGTTATAGCTGATCGTTATATTTCAATGCTGAACAACTTTTTTGAGCCACAATTGACTGACGAAACTAATTTAGGAGATCTGTGGTTCCAACTAGATGAGGTTACTTCGTGTCTTTGAGAGGTGAATTGGGATGGCCAGCGCGCTCGCCAGATTTAAGCATGGGGGGGCTATTTGAAGCAGAAGGTTTTTAGACATCGCCTCCACACTTTAGGTGAGCTAAGGACCCGAATTGTTGAGGAAACATCCACCATACCACCAGAAATGTGTAGAAAAGTAGCTCAAAACTTCAGAAATATACTACGTCAGTGTATTGCTGCTGAAGGACACCATCTTGCTAAAGTTGTGTAACTTAATAAGAAGAAAATGGGATTACATACAAATTATAATAAAAAAGGTTTCAAACCTTTAAGTTATTCAGTTTTTCTTTCATACCTCCTCTAAACTGGGTCATCACTTCTGCCGCACCCTGTATTTTAAAAGTGCTGATATTGTCAAAATTTATATCGAAAATAACACCTAAATGTCGATCATTCAAAAATACCTTGCTACATTGAACATAATCCACAACCTGTGGAATCTTCAAGAAATTGTTGAGTTAGGAAAATTAATGCACATGGATATAATATATTTTAATATTATATTTGTGTGTATGAAAGTCCAGAAGCTTACAACCAAGCTATTCTCTTGATGAAGGTTGGTAAGTTACAAAACGAATCATTGCATATCCATATTATATACTTATCGTATTATTTTCAGGTGTGATCCATTCTCACAGACCTTGTGAGATGGTTCCTCCATGGATAAGAAACATTTTATGGCAAGTGCAATTATTGCATTGTAGATGTCAGAGATGCATTTTCACACAAATCATTATGGGACTCTAGATTGTGTAGAGTGTCAGGCACAAGTGTGTATAATGTGTGTATGTGGAGATCATAATTACTATTATTGACCATCGCTATTTCAGGGTGCTCAAAATGCCATGGTCATGTAGGATTACCAAAAATGAAGTGTTACAGAGAGTAAACAGAAGAATAGAGTTGCAGCATGAAGCAAAATCATAAAAACTTTATGACAATTCCATAATTAATTACGAATGGGAAAATAAAAGAAAATTGTGACTCATCAAGGGAATTACTTTCCTGTTAAACAAACTCCAAGTAATTCAAACAACTAGATAAGCGGAAAAGACCCATTATGTTGAAAATTGTAGTTACCTCAAAGTCAGATTGGGTAAGCCCTAATAGGTAGTTTTGAGGTAGTTTCATTGCATTCATAATTCACTCATCATTACATGTAGATAGATGTTGCAAGTATCAAATTAAAACGCCCATCTTTATCATGAACTTAACATGTAAGACTCATTTTAGGCAAAAATGAACTTAACCTAACCTGGCTCTGAGGTACAGAATTTGATTTGTATTTAAACTGCTGGGTATAAATTTTGTATTTTACTTCGCTTTTTCTTCCTCGGTAATTATACACGTAGTATCGAAGATCCATACCTGCCGGTACAGTTAGAAGCAAAAAATTAAAGATAAGAAGATATCCACATTCCTTGATCCCACCAGTAGTCACTTCGAAATTTGTACCTGCCGGGTAAAGACGTGTTTACGTGCGTCGTGTGAAATTGTTATACGTTTGAAATGCCAAAAAGACAGAGTGGTGGTAGTGGTGATAGTGGCCCTAGAAGGAAGAGGGGGAGGAAGTATGATAGAATCTCGACAGCAGCTCTTGCTCTTCTGATGATGACCAAAGTAAGTGTTTTGAGGAATCTGAAAGCTAGAATGTTCGTTGTGCAATTGTTCTATTGCACGTTTAATTCGTAAAATATACACGTAGTCGTTATACTACGGAAAGAAAATTTTGCGTTATGCAAATGTAAATGTAAACAAAGAACTTTTTTCGTTCTTTCTAGACATATCTGGTACTGAGATGATGAATCAAATTATTACTGAGGCTGAAATTCATCCAATACCTTCTGGCTCGGCCGTTTCCGCGGGTGTTCCGCCAGAAAATATCGATGCATCTTGGGAATTTGAATTCTTGGGAGCAAAACCGAAATCAAAAAATAATGGAGAAGTACCCCCTTTTTTTGAAAATTGCCCCTTAATGAAATCACCAGTGCTCTCTCCAGAAATTGCTTCATGCCTGGATGACAAAACATTACGCCAAGATAACTTTATGAGAAAGATACAGGAGCAAACGGCCCATTCTCTGGCTATTTTAGGAAGCCAAATAAACAGTTGACTATCAAACAACCCCAATGGTTCGAAAGAACTAGTAGCTAGCCTAGCAGATGCAGCGCAGCTGACCTGCAATGTACATCATGCTATATCTACACATAGGAAATATAATATTTTACCTTTCCTTAAACCTTCAGCTCGAAAGCTAGCGGAAACATCTAAAACAGATGAATTTTTGTTTGGCAAAAATTTTGTAGTAGATTTGAAATCTTTAGATGCTGCGAAAAAGGCCAGTTTTGAACTTAAAGCTAATGGAGCCCGCCTGTTTCAAAAAGCTCCTCTTATCTCAACCATCAAACAACAGCCTATAGCGTACAATCGCCAGAATTATCCCGATTTTCAAACCAAGAATTTAAACTGGAAGCGCCAGCCTCAGAAGTCCAGAAAGAAAGATCCCCGATCCGGAGTGAACAAAGAACACCACAGACGCCGATATTAATCGAACAACAGGTCATCGTTGATTATAATCTGTATGCGGGCCGACTGACACACTTTTTTCGTCGATGGGAAAACATCACTAATGATAAGAAGATATTAGACTGGGTTAAAGGAGTTTTTATACTCTTTGTCACTTTCCCACGGCAAACTTCAGTCAAACATGTCAATATTTCGTCAAATGAATTACAGGCTTACGACCTGGCAATTAGAGAACTATTGAGACTAGGTGTTGTTTCACAATGTCAGTATGAACCTGGTGAATTCATATCACCTTACTTTTTGATCAAAAAGCCAAATGGGAAATCCAGATTTATCTTAAATCTCAAAGAACTCAATAAATTTATAAATGCTCCACATTTCAAACTGGAGGACTATCGTAGTTTACTAAAATTTCTATCACATGAGTCCTATTTGGCAAATATTGACATGAAAGATGCATATTATATGGTAGCAATCAACAATGATTATAAAAAATATCTTAGATTTATTTTTAATGGAAAACGCTATCAATTTAATTGTTCACCATTTGGGTTAAATATAGCGCCATATATATTTACCAAACTTTTGAAACCACTCGTTTCAGTGCTAAGGAAAACTGAGAATCTATTGTTTGTTATATATTTAGATGACATTTGTATAGCCGAGTCAACCAAAGAAAAGTGTCAAAAAGCCGTTAAATGCTGCATTACGTTGCTCGAGTATTTGGACTTCAAAATTAACGACAAAAAAAGCATGACAATCCCGACCTTCGTAATAACGTTTTTAGGATTTACATATAATACGGCAAATATGATCTTTTATTTGCCCGAAAATAAAAAACAGAATTTGAAAGATTCATTACAGAAATTTAAAAATAAAGATAAATGTTCAATATTATTCCTTGCACGGCTAATAGGAAAATTGGTAGCAGCTTGTCCAGCCGTAAAATATGGATGGGTGCACGTGAAAAACTTTGAAAGAGAAAAGTATATGGCATTGAAAAAGTTTAATAAAAATTACAAAAAAGTTATTGGTGTACCTGAGTACTTGAAAGAAGACATCGATTGGTGGATCGATAATATAGATAAAACATCTCAAAGTATCAATAACAAGCAACACTTCGTTTTGGAGATATTTTCGGATGCTTCTACCTCTGGTTGGGGTGGGCATTGTAATGATCTCTCCATACATGGATTTTGGTCCCAGGAGCAAAAGAAGCATCATATTAATTATTCAGAGCTACTAGCCGCACTTTTTCCACTAAAGTCATTCGGTAAGAATTGCAAAAACTGTGATATTTTATTGAGAATAGATAGTAAAACTGCCATAGCTTGTATAAATAAAGGAGGCAGCATCCGTTTCAGTAAATTGAATAATATCACTAGAGCTATATGGGACTGGTGTGAATCGAAAAACATCAGTATCTTTGCCTCCTATATTCCATCCAAAGAAAATACACATGCTGATTTACAATCAAGATATCTATCAATTCAGACGGATATGAGTTGAACAACAAAGCTTTTCAGTCAATTTGTAAGAAACTCGGAAAACCTGAAATCGACTTATTTGCAACTAAATTAAATGCTAAATGCAAAATATATGCTTCCTGGGGCCCAGATCCTGACTCTACGTATATAGATGCATTTACAATAAAATGGAATTTGTTTTTCTATGCATTTCCTCCATTTTGTTTAGTGTTCCAGACACCCAACAAGATTATGAAGGACAAAGCAACAGGGATTGTAATAGTGCCTAATTGGCCAACACAACCCTGGTATCCTTTATTTATCAGACTGTTAATATCCGATCCAATCGTGTTAGGTCCTAGAACAGATTTGCTTTCTTCTCCTTTCAGGTCATTTCATCCACTACACCAGAGGCTTACATTGGTTGCCGGGAAATTATCCGGAAATCAATGATTAAGAGGGGCGTTCCAGAAGAGGTTATTCCTATTGTAACAGCATCTATTAGTAAGGGCACCCTAAATCAGTATGACATATGTTATCGGAAATGGTGGGAGTTTTGTGTTAATCTGAATTCTGATCCACTAACGCCTAATCTAAAAAATAATTTGTTTTTCTTCAAAGAACAGATGAATAACGAATTATCTTACTCTAGTCTAAACATATATAGATCAGCACTAAATCTTATCATTGAACAGTCACTACATGACGACCGAATAATAGAAAGATTTCTGAAGGGTGTATATAACCTTAGACCACCAATGCCAAAATACCAATCCACTTGGGACCCTGAACCAGTACTGTCATATCTAAAAACCCTCTACCCTCTTGATTCATTGACCATAGAACTCTTGACAAAAAAACTTGTAATGTTGCTGGAGTTAGCTTCTGGTGAGAGAGAACATACCTTATCCAAAATTTCGCTAAATAAAATTTCAAAAGTAAAAGATAGGATCGAAATAAAAATTAGTGAAGAGCTCTGGAAGAAACAAACTTCAACCTGTTTTGATACTTCCTTACCTTAAAGAATGCCCTGAGCTATGTGTAGGTTCAGTGTTAGAATACTATATAGAGAAAACCAAAGATTACAGAGAATCTAATACTTACCTTATATTAACGCATAGGAAGCCCATTCATCAAGCTACATCATAGACAATAAGCAGATGGCTTAAAGATGTATTGAAAGCTAGTGGCATAAATACAAAAATTGTTAGTGGACATAGCACTCGTCATGCCGCGACATCTGCGGCATCTCGATCAGGAGTTAAAATAGACACTATTAAAAACTGCGCTGGTTGGACCGCAAAATCTGATGCGTTCAATAGATTTTATAATCTATATAATGTTTGTGTGTGATTGACGTTTATGTACAAAAGACAGATATGATTGAAGTTATTATTTGTATCAAAATTTGTGGAAATTAAATCACCTTAATACGTAAACTGAAAATATATTTTATTTTAGATATTCAAATCGCACATCTTTCTTTAAACAGCTACGTGTGTAATTACCAATGAAGAAAAAGCGAAGTAATATTGATAAGTTGATTGACTTACCTGTAAGGAAGATCAACTTTAATTTTGCGAGCTTTTTCTTCCGAAGGTAATTACGTCCCACCCTCCCACAACCAGTGCGATTTGAAACCTTATAGACAAATTACGAAGTGACTACTGGTGGGACCAAGGAATGTGGTTATCTGCTTATCTTTAATTTTTTTGCTTCTAACTGTACCGGCAGGTATGGATCTGCGATACCACGTGTGTAATTACTTTCGGAAGAAAAAGCTCGCAAAATTAAAGTTGATCTTCCTTACAGGTAAGTCAATCAACTTATCAATTCAAATCACTACCAATAATGGGGCCTTCAGCTACTGAGCATACCTCCGTGGCATCATCAAGAACAAGGAGATCAATGCACTGAGCCTCAAAGAACAATATGTTGTATTTATCAACTGTGTTGCACCATATATTAATGTTGTAGAATGTGGTATATGAAGAAAAAGTGAGTACAGCTAAATACAGTTTATTTTCCAATTTGTTCATTGACTTGTAATCTTAACATAAAAGGGAAAATTTATTAAAACTGAGGCATAGGAAAGAAAAACATTTACTGTTTGAGAAAGAAATATCAAAAACTGAACAGGGTCGATATTTGAAACACTCATATGACGAGCAGATTTTGCTAGTTATGATAGTCACAGTAAAAAAATATGAAATCTTTGGCTCGAAAGTCTGCATTTATCGCTTGAAGTATTGGTAATTGCAATTTAGTTTGTTTCCTAATTGAATGTCCTAAGGGGGTGGTTTCTGGTCCATTTTAAGATGAAAACTTCAAATGATCATATATCCTAAATGTTTTAACTTTTGAAACACAGGGTGGTAAAAAAGGTCAAAAAAATAAATCCTCGATTATAAATATCCGTATTACCACTTAATGAAATTTGGCATACATGTAAATATGTCAAGAGGCATTCTTTTAATTTTACCTGCCTGTTTTGATAGACAGTGATGGTATGCTGTTTATTTCTCTCTTATTAACATTTTCAATCACTTAGAAGCAAAAATCGATACGAAATGATTTTTTTTTTCAATCTGATGCACGGTTTTTATAAAAACGATAATAACAATATTAACATGACAGTATCACCATGCAGAGAATTTTTTGGGTAAAAATAGTGGGTCGGACATGAAAACTTGAATTCTTTTAGTCTGACGCACGGTTTTCATCTGAAAAATACAATCTATTTCTCGACATAGTGACATTGTCATACTAATGATATTAGGATCATGCAAAGAAATGTTATTTCATTTTTGTAAGCGCATATCGTGCATCGGAGTGAACAAAAATTAAGCAATCAAATTTGCCTAGAAATTAAAAGTTTATATTTTAAGAGAAATCGTTGCGTACTATCATTGTCTGCCAAAATAAGCAAGTGAAGTCGGTACGAACGTCGCTGCTGGAAATCAAAAATTCGTACATTAAAAATACCTCTTGATAGTACATATATGCAGAATTTTAATAAAGTATTTAACGAGATATTACAGATCGTAACAAAAAAAATGATTGATTTTTAAAAAGCTTACCACCCCGTTTCTCAAAAGTCAAGACGATTAGGACATACAATTATATGAAGTTTTCTTCTTAAAATAGAACCAAAAGTCGTCCTCTTAAATAAAGACTTCATTTGATTACTGATACTTATGTATTTTGACATACTATCTATGAATTCCTTAACAATTTCATGTATCATATTTTCCAGTTGGTACTTACAGAATATAAATAAAAGAATACTTGGCAAAATAAATATTTTTTATTCTACATTGTATACCCACAGAAATACAATAGGTTCATTCCAAAATATCTAGAAATATAGATTTCATCAATTTTTAATCCTTGACCTTAACTAGATTATATGCTATTTTCTAAATTACAAGCTATGTAAACAGGTCTAAAAGGATATCTGATCAATTGCAAAGAAATCTGTCTAGTTTGGAGGTACATTAGATCATTTTGGAAAGTTAATTAACACTAGGTATCAAACTTCTTGAAATATCCAATTTAAATATATTGACTCTTCTTTTTTTCCCTCTAATAACGTTCCTTACACTGGAGTTATTGTCTTGGAGCCATATCTTGTACCCTGGGCTTATCAGGATTGGATGTTTTTTGAGCAATGCAAGTAGATCTGAAAAAATAGCATTATAAGTAATGGTGATTTCGTATGCTAAGTACCGATATAACCATAAGTGTTAAAATATGTATTTCATATAGCATTATTGCTAGATCACTGGATTCTTATTTAACCTATGGCATCAGCTTTGTGAGATTTTGTACATATAGAAATGTTGATTGCAATATTCAAAAGCCACTTTATCGAGTTTCGTGTGACATTTCATCTCTCACATGCAACATTAACTATTACACATTTGAGAACCCCCTTCCCAGGCATAACAAAGCTCCTCTTGAATTCAATAGCTTTTACCTTTAATGAATATACAGGCTTATGCCTACCTTAAATTTACAAATTGCAGTCACAAAAAGCAGATTCACTTATTTCAGTAAGGTTGGCTCCTTCCAACATGCTTTCAAGTGCCTGGATGCATGAATCCGTTCTTAAGAAGATCATTCGCCTCTTTATCCTTCCAAAATAGATATGGAGTTTTGTATGCAATATCATGATGGTTTATATCTGCAAAAAAAGATGCATAGATTCCAGACACATTAAAAATTTACACCTTGGTGTGGGCTAAAATTTTATAATGATATTTTTTAGAGTTACAGTCTGAAAGATTTAGGTTAAGGTTCCCACTAATATAAAAAAATACCAGATAGGGCACGGCATGTTTAAACTCAATTTCAGAGCATTTACACATTATACATACTTGTAGCCTGACACTAAGGCAATCCAAAGTCTGTCAATGATTTGAGAACAGCCATCTCCGACATCAACAAAGCAGTTGCACTTGGGATACAATGTTTCTTATCCAACATCTCATAAAGTCTGTGAGAACGAACCACATCGGAAAAAATGCGATAAGTATATAAATATGAATATGCAATGTTTACATTTTTTTTAACTTACCAGCTTCATCAAGAAACAGCTTGGTTGTAAGCTGTTAGGCAAATATATATAAAAATACACATCCATTTGCATTAAATTGTTGATTTTAGATCATTAATACCAGATATGGGACTTGAAGATACCACAGCCTGACGAATTTGTTCAATGTAGGAAATTATTATTGAATGATCAACATTATTAGCAAGAAAATATCCTTCGGCATTTGATTCATGTCTAAAAAATCTTAAACGTCAAAAAAGAAACATAACCTAACATCACAATTGACTTCTGATTGACAGCAGACTAGAAATCAAAAGCAGGACATACATGTACCTTACCAAAGAAGACATAATATTATCAAAATCAAGGAGGCCATAAACGCGCCCTACAATTGTAGGGACGACTGGCCTTAATCACTTACTAGTAATTTGAATTTTTCTTTATTAATGGTAGATTGCCCATTCCTAGGCCAAACCCTTTTCAATGTTTTTTTTGTAAATTTCATAGTTTATTGATTGTATAATTTCATACGTATTTTATCTTTCTTTCCCAGTAATTCAGTATTGTGTTGGAAAAAAACTGTGGTTTTTCTCCGTTACTTGGTTCCCTGTTGAACGTATCGTATCTTCTTCACGGCCACTCATTGAACCTTCCTTTATAAAGTTAGGTGTTTCGTGGCAGTCACTTTACTCCTGAGGTTTTGGTATGAGCGCCATTTGTTCAATCTCCAGATTCTGGGATATTAGGTGCCGAACACTAGTTCGTGGAGTAGTACCCCTTCATATAGTACGTTACGTTTAGTTGTTTTGGTTTGGGTGCTACCCCCATTTTCTAATGGAATTTTAATCTTTTTTGCGGAGAACCACCATAGACTCCTCCAACTTTGCTTGTAGCTGTTTTGCGGCTGGTATTGCCGGAAGCCACCCCTTTCCCTTAGCAAAAAACCCTGTTCACATCACACACATCTAATCAGGTTCTTTCCATCAATATTATATTTAAAATTTATGAATTATTTGTTTCTTGTGAAACTCACTACCTTACACTTATCTACATTTAGTGTTAATTTATTATCGTTACACCAGTTCTAAATCAAAATCTAAATCTAAAATTTTAAACTATCAGCAAAACCAGGTTTTTCTACTGTTAAAGCATCCAATGTACTATTTATAATAATTATAAAAAGTCCCAAGTTTGATCCCTGCGGAACTCCAGATATAGCTCCATAGACTCCCGACCGTGGAATTATATATTCCTTTCTTTATTTTTATTCAATAGTCTAAGCATTGCTGTTTGCTAGTTAATACATCTGTACCACCGATTTCGGATCGATGCAAGAGGACTTGGCGCCTAATTGTTGCACGGTGGTCTTTGAAGATGCTGTTGCGCTTTCGGAGCAGCTGCTATAATTTGACTAGCATAAGTATTGTAGCGAAGGCACGTGCTCACTAAATAAACTAATAACTTCTTAACACACTAATGATTTATAACAACATTTATCATCATGTTAAGATTGGGGGAGGCTGTACCGTTGCGGTAATATATTTATCAATTTCTAGCCCCAGTTATTCTATGCATCTATTGGATATATTTCACACATATATTTCCCCGTATATTTGCTCTTAAGATTTAGAAATATATTCCATATAAAGTTGTACGTTAGCAACTGCTGTAAATCCTCGCTGTGAATTTTATACCCAAACACCTCAGATGTAATAAAGGCATCCTCGATAATTAAAAAAAAATCGGACAGTTTTCAATTATACTCGCTCTGTTACATGATAGCTGACCAATAGTAAAATTGACTCCGATGCTATATATCGTCCATATTCAAAGTGCATAATTTAAATTATATCCAAATCAACGATACTTTTTTCACTGATATTCATTTTACTTTATGTCAGGGTACAAGGATTTTCATAACAACAATAAAGATAACAAGTTGACTCAGATACTATAGATGATGCATGTATAATACTCTCTGGAGCCCTTTTGCTAACTGTAAGTCTCTGATCCCTAGCTGCAAAACAGCTACTTTGGGCGCTTTTTTCCGAGCCAGCCTGGATTGTACTAGACGAGCAAAAAACAATTCGGCGGTCGGGCGCCCGTCGGTGGCGCCGCGGCGCCTTCAACCAGGCACCGAGACGCTGATCCTGCTGCCACTGCTGCTTCTATAGTCCAGTTGACATAGTCAATGTAACAACGGAAATTACTTATCGGTGCGAAACTCGAAGCCTTCGCCTACAGGTATATTAGGGTAAACCGAGGAAAGATGGCCATATTTTTTTTAGTCGTCTGTAATACTTTTAATAATTGGGTTTTAACAAAAAATATAATATTTTAGGGTAGAGCATGGTAACTATTATTTGTTGTTCTGTGCAATTTTATTATAAATATGGTTTTTCATTTTGTTGATAAATATCGGCATTTTTTATATGTGGGCCATCTCTCCTATAGTGTTTAGTAGAGATGGCCATATAAAATTTAAAGAAAATAATGAGTTTTATGAGAATACTAGTGAAATACCTATGAGACTTTATTATTACATATAACAGAAAAAAAGTAAAAACTCAATACCCCCTTTTGCCAAAAAAGTAACTTACATTAAAAAACTAACTAACTTAGTGAATTAACTATAAACCACTACAAAAAAAGAACAAAACAACATATTTTTTGTAAAAAAACATGCTAATAGTTCAAAAACAATATTATATGTATATATATATAACATTATTTTGCTAATCTCAAGTTTTCGGCAAACAAAAGCCACAGACAAATTGTTTGGCAGAATTTGATCCACTACAAAGTTTGTGGATCCACAAACCACATACGGTGCATCTAAAATCTAAACCAGAATTCGTTGTCTTTTCCGAACTCCCACAAACAAAACAGATATCGTCGTCCTCGTCTCTTGGGGAGTCACTATCATAGGATGAAACTTGCGAATCCGAAGAGCTTTCATTCTCTTTTGATCTTCTTGCTTATTTTTGTCCTATTCTTGGCCCTTTTGTTGCCAAAATTTGCTCTTTTGCCAGAACTAGTTGAAGGAATATTTTTAAATTGTCATTTTTTCCGGTGAGAAATGAATGCAGCCAAACTTAACCAGCTTTCTGAAGCCGATTATTAAATTTATGTTTCAAGCCTAGCTGAACAGCAAATTTATAAGCTATGGTTCGCAAATCATCTCTAGTAAGTGGAAATCCACTTTTCGCATTTCTTTAATATGCCGTACCAGTCTGTTTTCATGTGCAGCTCCGAAAGTAGTATCTGGGTCCAATTTTTTCTTATGGTCTTCATACTTTCGCCTTTCCAATGTCTTTCTCGGAATACCGAAAGTTTTTCCAGCCTGACGTACAGATAATCCCTCATCTTTAACAGTACTCATTGCAGATTTCAGTTGCTCCTCGGTCCATTTGGCCCTCTCCAATGATTTTCTTTTATAAATTTTTGGCATCTAAAATAAATACAAATGATCTACAATGGCCTTCTTACATAGGAAATAAGTGGGCCATCTCTCCTTTTCTTCGAGGAAAGATGGCCATAGCATGATTTAGATCATTTATTCCCAAAGTGGTCTATATCGACCCGTAGGGGTCAACGACAACCTGCAAGGGGTCTACGTCAGTGAAAAAAAATTTGGGGGTCCATGAAATTAATATGGGGGTCCACGATAGTGGATCTCAACACATACACTGATAGTACCTATTTACTTACATCATACTATCTTATAATATCAAAACATATACATTATTTATAAAAGTACCTATGAAGTAAAAAAATTATTATATATGTTTATACAATTGTGTAAGTTGTAGGATGTTGGTATTCGCTTTGTGGTCGCAATACATTTTGAACTTGTAAAAACCTGAGAGTCGCAGTTTCAGAGCTTCGCTACCTTGCACTGACTTGTTCAATTCGTCACTTTATAAATACGATTGTGGGACAAATACGTTAATTCGTTTCCTGAATCTTGAAAAGGAAAGTGCTAAGAAAATATTTTAAAAAATATAAACAGATAGTATATCACACAAATTATAGTGAGTCAGTGTCATTTTGTTTGAGAGTGCTGGAGAAAAGTAAGTACATTATTTTTTATTAAATTTTAGTTTTGTACTCGTAGTTAGCAAAGATAGATAAATTACGCCAATCATGACTTTAGTTATTAGTAGTTAAATATTCAATCATGCAAAATTACACGAGTACTCCTCAATAGTTTCTTTTTGAAAGTTTTAGCAATCGGTAATATAATTTCAGTGCAATCTCCGTAATTCGAGCTGATTGTTGCAAGAAGATGTTCGAATTATGGAATGTTTTCGGAAAAATCAAAAAATATTTTTAATATACAGCTGCTGGATTTTCTGTCTTATTTAAATAATTTAATTTTGCCCACAGATGACTGATGCCATGTCCGAATCTAAAAAGAAATGTAGACAGTACAGTGTTGATTATTTGAAATTTGGCTTCATTCCATCATTGCCGGACAAACAATCGCCTATGTGCCTTTTATGCAACAAACTTTTGGGCAATGACGCTATGAAACCATCTAAACTGCAAGATCATCTGGGAAGATGCCACCCTGATAAAACAGAGAAAGATTTGAAATACTTTCAAACACTCAAAGATAAATTTCAGAAGAGACCTACACTGGACGGATTGTTCGCTTCGACGTCACAAAGAAATTATGATGGTTTGCGGGCGTCTTACAATATCTCGTTACCTATAGCAAAATCCGGAAAACCGCATAGTATCGGAGAGAAGTTAATTTTGCCAGCCGTTGAAGAGGTTTTAAAAACTGTTTTACACAAACCTGCATCTGATATCATTAAAAGAATTCCCTTAAGCAACAATACTGTTGAAAGACGTATTGATGAAATGAGTTCTGATATTGAAAGCTTCTTATGTAATTATTTGCAAACGACCCATTCCTCTATACAACTGGACGAGTCAACTTTACCTGATAATGCAGCATTATTATTGGCATATGTTCGTTTTATTATGAATCAAGAAATCTACGAAGAACTGCTCTTCGCAAGAACTTTGATAACCGACACTAAAGGTGAATTAATATTTCGTGTTTTAAAGGATTACTTCATTGAAAAAGCAATTCCTTTATCAGATATAATATCAGTAGCTACAGATGGAGCCCCTGCCATGGTTGGACGTTATCGTGGATTAATAAGCTATTTAAAACAAAATGTGTCAGGGGTGTTAGCAATACATTGCGTCATCCATCGACAACATTTAGTTGCTAAAAATTTGAGTGTTAGGTTGCATGAATCACTTCATTTAGTCATTGATGCAGTAAACCGAATCCGAAGCAACGCGTTGAATACGCGGTTATTTGCGCAGTTGTGTGAAGAAAATGACGTACACTTTCATCAATTACTCCTTCACACTGAAGTACGCTGGCTGTCGAACGGCTTATGTTTGACAAGATTTTTTGCACTTTTTGAGACTATTTTAGAATTTTTGGATACTAAAGATAAAATTTTAAAAGAAAATTTAATGAAGAGGAAAACAGACATCGCCTATTTAACAGATATGTTTACAAAATTTAATATGGTTAATTTGCAATTACAAGGCGACAGTTTAAATTTGATTAAAACAAAGTCCATCTTATCAGCGTTTCTTGCCAGAGTTAAACTAATGATGCAAAATATTGGACGGGGCGAATTTTCTCAGTTCCCCAATTTGTCACAGGCAAGCTGCCAGGAAGACGACGTTTCAACTAACGTTCAACATTTAAATGCCCTCTATTCAGATCTTGAATCTAGGTTTGAGAATATTTTGACTATGGTAATACCACCGTGGATAATTAATCCATCTGGTGACATAGAAGAAACGAATGTCATAATACAAGAGGAACTGACTGAAGTAAGTACAAACGAAGAACTTAAGGTTCAGTTTAAAAACGCATATCAGCAATTCTGGCTGCAAAACAACATACCCGTTACTTATCCCGTATTATGGAATATAGCGAGGAAATTTTTAATTTCCTATCCATCGTCATACCTAGTGGAAAGGGGGTTCAGCGCTGTTACCAATCTCCTAACGAAAAAAAGAAACAGACTGGACATCATTAGTCGAAGAGATTTAAGATTAACCCTTACAAAATTGACGACAAATGTTGATAATTTATTATTAAAGCATCAGGTTCATCCTTCTCACTAAAAATATTGACTTATTGCTTATGTTATTTTATTTATAGTTTATTTTATGTTTATTGGTGTCTGACCAATAAATGCCCGCATTGGGAATAAGTGCCCGCATTGATTTTTTTAAAGCACCCCCCGTTATAGAAAATATTTTTTTTTTAAATTATTCTGAAAATTCAAGGATAGGTACACACTAAAATTCGTTAATTTTTTGCCTATTTTTAGATAACTTAAACGTATAAGAAGCGGAATTTACTCAAACTAACAGTGAAATTATTGTAGAACATACGTTTATGTTATAATTAAAAAACGAACTCGCTTATTGTACTATTTTAAGTAAAAAAACTTTTTTTTAATTATTTTTCACTTTTTTTTATTTTATCCCCCTTATTTTTTTTCAATGCGGGCACTTATTCCCAATGCGGGCACTTATTGGCCAGACACCTGTTTATTTAATGTTACGTATATTTTACGTAACAGATACAAAATTTTATTTTGAATAGTTTTAATTTAAATTCAATTAATAAATGTATAAATTAACATGTGTTTTTACTTTAATTTTTTAACACTAAACTTCACTACAGTTAGAAATTTACAGGAAATCAATATCAGGTAAGTAGGGGGTCTACCCAACACGGAAAAACATGGCAAGGGGTCTACGACACAAAAAAGTTTGGGGAACTCTCATTTAGATTTTATATACGTTAATTCGCGTAAAACGCTTAGGCAACACAAAACACACCACACATGGTAAAATAAACACCAGACGGATTGTTAAAAACTAATAAAATTTTATGAAATTTGGCTAGTAGAAAATTGTATTAAAAAACTATTGAACCCATGTAAACAGAAATTTTAAAATAACTTACCTTTGAACTTAGTTAATTGACTCAGAGTTTCTAGTATAGCACGATCACACAACAGTACATTGAGCCTTATTGAAAAAAACGCCCTCTAATAACTATTTAGGAAAATATCGAGTTGGGCCATCTCTCCTCTATGGCCATATAATCTCGATTTACCCTATGTGCAGTGTTAGAATTACAATGCATTTCCCACACGAACGATCAGAAGGTTCAGATACTTTGCTCATAACTTAATGGAAATCACTACTTTTGAACTGTATTATTTTTTTCTTAAGTTGTCTTATGTTATTTTTCAATCAGATTTTCAGGATATGTTCCCAAATGATGTGTTGTTGGACAAAGCTATCAACGAAAATTTAGTGCAGCTAATGTAGTTACAGCAATCGGTTAATCTGCAATTTTGTTTGATGTAAAAAATATTACAGCATATACCGTATACCGTACTTTGCTCCTATGGGTGTTACTTTGCCCCTTGACCGAAAAGAGTTTATTCGTACTTTTATTATTAGAAGAGATAGGTATGCAACCAAACAAACTGCAAAATATTGAAGGTTACCTCCCTGGAAAAGACTCCCGCCTAAACCATCATTCCACCAGCATTAGTAAACAAACAGACTGAGGCTGAATCGGTAGCAAAAAAAGCTGTAGAAATTTGAACGTGGAAATTTGTTGTGTGCAGTGGATATTTTCATTTTATCTGGCAAGTGAGTATTTTTGTACTAGTTTAATATCATTTTAGAATATGTTGTTAATAACTTTACCCTTCATAAACGATAAAATAGTAAGATAATATTTTTCTTGTTGAGACAGGCAAAATTTCAATTATTTGGGGTTACTTTGCACCGGAGCAAAGTAACCCCACTAAATTCCTTTATAGTTTCTGTAGTATGCGGTATATCATTTTTGGACTGCTTTATGATTTTCATATGATCCCTTTCATTACAGGCATGCCTAGAAAATACAAAAGACGAGTGGGATCGAGGAGGTATGCAGATTATACAGCCGAAACTTTGCAAATGTGTTTGGCTGAAATCAGAAGTGGTGACATATCACACAGAAAAGCGGAACAAAAGTATAAAATTCCAAGAAGAACAATTTTAAATAAACTCAAAGGTAACCATTGCAAAAAACCAGGAAAGCAGCCTATATTCACGTCTCAAGAAGAACACCAATTTGTCGAATGCATCGTAGCGCTGGGAGAATATGGGTTCCCTATCAACTCAAGGGAATTGAGACACATCATCAAAAATTATTTAAGTCGCTGCGGAAGGGAAGTGAAAACCTTTCAGGATAATTTATCAGGACAAGATTGGACAAATGCCTTTATAATTAGACATCCTGAAATTTCAATACGTTTTGCAGAAAATATCAAACGTACACGAGCTGCAGTGGATGAACCGTTATTAAGAAGCTTTTTCGAAAACCTGGCTGGT